CCTGGATCCGTAGGTGGCTGGGTGCAGGGTGACGGAGGAACCCCAATCCGTCGCCGCTTGGCTGCGGGTTTCGGGGATCTCAGATCCCTATCGCGGGTGCGGCGACATTAAAGGCAGGCGAGTCGGGGATGAGGCGCCGCTGTGGTGGGAGGTTGCTGGGGTAGGGACTTGGCGGCGGTGGGCGGTGGGAGGTTGCCGGGGTAGGGACTTGGCAGTAGTGGGAGGTCATTGGGCGTGGAGGAATCGCCTGCCTCGCGCTGCGAGGAGGTGGGTCGCCGGGGCAGCGGGGTTACGCGGCGGCGTGGCCCCTAGCATCGGAGGCATGAGACCCTGGCTGTAAGATGTAGGAATCATGTGTTGTATTCCTCAGGTGCAAACGCACGTATATATGATGTACAAAAGGTGGGCCACGACCTCGACTATACAAGGAACTAGGAGGTGGGCCCAATACACAAATATGCACAACACATATACTCAACACCCCCTGTAGTTGAAGCGGCACCGCTGCTGACACAAAGATTGGACCGGAACTCCTCAAATGACGCCGTAGGCAAGCCCTTGGTCATGATATCTGCAAATTGTTGGGAAGTAGGGACATGTAAAACACGAATATGGCCAAGGGCCACCTGTTCCCGAACAAAATGAATATCCAACTCAATATGCTTGGTCCATCGATGATGCACCGGATTAGCGGAGAGGTAGACCGCTGAGACGTTGTCACAATAGACCACTGTGGCACGGTCAACAGGGCAGGAGAGCTCCTGAAGCAGCTGGCGAAGCCACGAACACTCGGCGACGACGTTGGCCACCGCACGATACTCAGCCTCAGCACTGGAACGAGAGACCGTAGGCTGCCGCTTGGACGACCACGAGATGAGCGAGGGGCCAAGGTAGACATAATAGCCCGAGGTGGAGCGACGAGTGTCAGGGCAGCCCGCCCAGTCTGCATCGGAGTAGGTGGTGAGGGAGGTGTCAGCGGAGGCGTGAAACGTGACGCCAAGATCCATAGTGCCACAAACATAGCGGAGAATCCGCTTGACAGCGGCCCAGTGAACGTCCCGAGGAGCATGCATATGGAGACACACCTGCTGCACGGCATACTGGATCTCTGGTCGAGTCAGAGTGAGGTACTGGAGAGCACCAACGATAGATCGGTAGAAAGCAGCATCCGAAGTAGGAGAACCATCCGTGGCAGAAAGCTTGGCCTTCGTATCAACAGGCGTGGCGGCGGGCTTGCAGTTAAGCATGCCAGCGCGCTCCAGGAGCTCATGAGCGTACTTCCGCTGATGAAGAAAGAAGCCATCCGGATGGCGCACCACCTCAATACCGAGGAAGTAGTGCAAATGACTCAAGTCCTTAATGGCGAACTCAGCGCGAAGACGAGCCGTGAGCTGACTGAGAAGACCAGCCGTACAAGCCGTCAGGATGATGTCGTCGACATAGAGTAGCAAGTAGGCCGTGTCGGAGCCCTGGCGATAGACGAAGAGCGATGCGTCCGAGCGGGTGGAGCGAAACCCAAGCTGGTGTAGAAACGCCACGATGCGCTGGTACCAAGCGCGCGGAGCCTGCTTGAGTCCATACAAGGACCGCGAAAGTAGGCACACGTGGTCGGGAAGCGCCGGATCAACAAACCCGGTGGGCTGCTGGCAGAAGACCTGCTCCTCGAGGTGACCATGGAGGAAGGCGTTGGAGACGTCCATCTGGTGCACCGGCCAAGCACGGGAGACCGCAAGGTGGAGAACCGTGCGTATCGTGCCGGGCTTGACGACCGAAGCGAATGTGTCGGTGAAGTCGATGCCAGCACGCTGTCGGAAGCCACGAACAACCCAACGCGCTTTATAGCGATCAAGGGTACCATCAGGACGGAGCTTGTGTTTGAAGACCCACTTCCCGGTAATGACATTGGCGTGCCGGGGACGGGGAACAAGCTGCCACGTCCGGTTGCGCAGCAGGGTGTCAAACTCCTCTTGCATCGTAGCCATCCAGAGCGGGTCATGAAGAGCGGCTCGAATGGAGGACGGCAACGGCGATGGCTTAGAGGTGGACGCCGCATGGACGTAGTCATCCGAGGCGTAGCGCGAGTTCGGGCGAGAAACGCCCGTACGAGCGTGGGTGACCGGACCGGCCACAGGCGCCGAGGGCGCCGGGGGCGCCGAGGAGGCCGGGGGCGCCGGGGCCGCCGAGGGCGCCGAGGAGACCGGGGGCGCCGAGGGTACCGCGGGCACCGGAGGCGCCAACATCGGGGGCGCCAGCGCCGCGACTGTAGGAGGCACCGCATGCTGGGGGCGCGCCTCAAAGCCAGGGGGCCAAGAGAGGCGCGCGAGGGACCTGGGAGAGGCGTCGAGGAGCCCCCGTCACCGATGGCGGGAGGAACAACTGGGGGTACCTAGTGAAACGGAAACACATGCTCATCAAAGTAAATGTGCCGGGAGGTGAACACACGGTGGGAGATAGGATCATAGCACCGATATCCCTTGGAGTTAGAGGGGTAGCCGATGAAGATGCAAGCGACGGATCGAGGTGCAAGCTTGTGAGAAGCAGTGTCGGCAGTGCTGGGATAGCAAAGGCACCCAAAAATACGCAAGTCGTCATAGGACGGGGGCGTACCAAAGAGAAGATGGTGAAGTGCGTAGTTCCACCATGGGCGGCAGGGTCTAAGGTTAAGAAGTGATGCAGTGGCGAGTGCGTCCGGCCAGAAACGAGGTGGCACATTGGCATGAAACAGGAGCGTGCGAACGCAGTCATTCAGAGTGCGAAGGACGCGTTCGGCTCGACCGTTTTGCTGTGAAGTGTACGGGCATGTGAGGCGGAAAACGGTGCCGTGATGCGCCAAAAAAGTGCGGAAAGCAAGGTTGTCGAACTCCTTTCCATTGTCCGTCTGAAGTGCAAGGATGGGACGCCCAAACTGTGTGCGGACATAGGAGTAAAAAGCCGTCAAGGTAGAGAGCGCATCCGACTTTCTGCGCAAAGGAAAAGTCCACACATAATGAGAATAATCATCAAGAATGACCAGATAATATAAATAGCCCGAGTTACTAGGAACCGGAGAGGTCCACTCATCGCTATGAATCAACTGAAAAGGAAAAGAAGCAATGATGGTGGAATTATGAAATGGCAGGCGAACGTGTTTGCCGACTCGACAGGCATGACAAGTGTGATCCTCGATCTTATTGCAACTGAAACTGAAACTCCTAAGAATATGACGAAGTGTGACGGGGTTGGGGTGACCCAAGCGAGCGTGCCACAGATCAACTCCAGCGGAGAGAGTGACCGGTGCGGTGGTGGTGGATGAGGGCGAATGCATCGGATAGAGCTCATTGGGGCTGTCACATCGGTGAAGTACCATCCTGGTTCGAGCGTCCTTGACACTAAAACCAAACTCGTCAAATTCAACAGTGACAAGATTTTCACGAGTGAAATAACGAACTGAGATAAGATTCTTAATAAGATGAGGAGACACAAGTATGTTAGACAAAGATAAAGGCGTAGAAGTAGAAGGAAAAGAAGTGTGCCCAACATGTGTGATAGGAAGTGTGGAACCGTCGCCGACAATGATGCGGCGGTCGGTGGAGACAGGAGTGAAGGAGGAAAGGTTACCATGATGAGCAAACATGTGAGCCGTAGCACCGGTGTCCATGTACCAATCACCACCTCCAGTGTAGTTGTTCGGCGTAGGAGCGGCATGCAGCCCGATGAGGAGCACCGGGTCCCAGGGCGCCGGCGGCAAGGTCGACGAGGTGGACGAAGACGCCATGGGGAAGCCGTAACCGCCGCTCAGCTGCGACGGTGGGTACTCTCCATACGGCTGCGGAGCCGCATAGTACGCATAAGGCGCAGGAGGGGTGGGAGGCCCGGACGGTATGGATAGAAACCCCGGCGACAACTGCGGTGCCGGGTAGGCCGGATGATCCGCCAGAAAAACCTGCTGACCCGTTGACAGATGCTGCAGATGCTGGGCGTTGTCTGGTTGCTGCCCAGCGGGCGAGTACTGGCCCACTGACGATCCCCACTAGTACCCAGAAGACCCGTACGTGGGCGGAGCCCCGTACGCCCCGTTCGTGGGAACGGGCACATGGAGGCCGCGCCGGAGGGGCGAAGACGGACTGACCGGAGGGCACCGGCGGCGGAGCCGCGCCAGTGGGTGTCGGCGGCGGGACGACAAAGGCGACAGTAGACGGGCCGGTTGACGCCATCGCTGGTCCGCGACGGGGCGCGAGAGGCGTCTAGTGTGGCGATGCGGCGGGCGTACGGGCTAGCCACGCACAGGCTGGCTAGCGATCGGCAGGCGCTAGTGACAATAGTCAGCAGCGAGCAAGTAGATCGATTACTTTCAAGCCGCCGCTCAACGAAGATTCAACGAGCACGTACCAAAGAAGCACACAAGCACACAGCTTGATGGATCTTCTGTCTAGCTAGCTAGCCCAGATCGTTGGAACGGGTATACGGAGACCCGCCGAGTTGGTGAGGTGAGGAGGGGCCGCTGGCCCGAGACACGCGCGGGCAGCGGCGGCTGGATGGCGGCGGCGGCGGCGGCGGCGGAAGGCTAGGGTTACAAACGCACGTACCTATGATGTACAAAAGATGGACCACGACCTCGACTATACAAGGAAATAAGCCCAATACACAGATATGCATAACACACATACTCAACACTGGCGGCACCGACAGAGAAAGGCGGAGGGAAGATGGGAGGAGGCGGTTGAGGAGGAAGAATATGGGAGGGAGGGGGATCGGGCACGAAGAGAAGGTTGGACGGAGGATGGGTGGTTTCACAAAACACCAAATCATCGAATCAATCAATCAAACTATAGAAAAAAGGGGAAATTGTAAAGGGAGGGCAGGAACAGCTGATGGATTGGTCACCGTCCGTCCTACCCCTCCCATTCTTCCTCGGCGGTTCCTCCTCACACCACACGCAGCTAGGGGAGCGCGCGCGTGCACGCTCGCACACACACGCGGAGGGGCCATAGGATAGGGCAGTGGAGCGAAGGCGGCAACAGATGCCGGGGCCGGGTAGCCAGAACGGACGGGCGACGCCGCTCAAGTCCGAGAACATCCACGGGCTCGTGCGCGCTGGCGACGTGGCGGCCGTCCAGAGGAAGCTGCAGGAGAACCCTGCCCTCCTCAACGACAAGAATCCTGTGGTCCGTGCGCTTCCTGTTACTTGCGTTCCCTCCTTCCTTGCCTTTCTTCAGCTTTAGACGCACGATCTTTGCTCGTTCCTGGCGTTCTTGGCACATGCAGTGTGGATTGAGCATACGAGATTCGATAGAAAAGCAGCGTTTGTCGGTGTGAATATGTGGTTTTAGTCAGATTGTATGGCAGAGGCTTGATTTTCTTGAGCTCGTTCTTGGATTTCATCCCCGCGTTGGCTATTCGGAATCTTCGGCCGTGACTCTCTGTACATTGCACTTGAACTGCATCGCCACCGTGTTTATTTGCTCCTCTTCGTGTAGTTAATGTGCTTCTTTGCTGTCTATTTCTTCCATTTTTTTTGTGTAGGGATACGAGTTCCTTTCCGGAACCAAGAAATCGCAACTACGATGGTTCTGAATTTTGCTTGTTCCCTGGTGCCGAATTTTGAATTTTCTATTCCTGCCGTGTTTGATTTTTCTTGTTGCCATTTCTGTTTCCTTGGAGTGTGCTGTCCTGCTTCCTTCCAAAAAATCCCCCTTGATTCGTTTGATTGAATATTGGATTTTCTTCATTATTTTGTTCCTTTAATTGTCTATTTGTCTTGGCTTCGTTCCCTTTTCTAGATGGCCTGTTACCATTTAAGACGGGTCGCTTTCCCATGTAAATTATGGCATTGCTTTGGTGAACTGGCTAGATTTTACTCTCTGAGAAAACTGAGTATGTTTGGATATCCTGTCCTGTGCCCTCGTACAAGAGCCTTGATATTTGCACGAGTCTGGTTTAGTTTACAACAAAAATTAGGAATGGGTCTTATCATGTACTCTCTCCGTCCCCAAATAAGTGACTCAACTTTGTACTAGCTTTAGTATAAAGTTAGTACAAAGTTGAGTCACTTATTTTGGGACGGAGGGAGTACTAGTTAGATGCATGCAAGATAGAAGTAAGAAAGCATGAATAAACAAACTTTAATTGAGGCACTACAACTGCAAGGACAGATAATCATGACAATTTTCAGAAAACAACCATCACTCAAATGTCTTCTTTCGTTTATTTGCCACTATTTCTTTACTTTTATACTTTCCGTCCATGTCGTAGTCTAGCTTCTAATATGTCCTTTGTTCCTTTGCTGAACAAACAAAGAAAAGGAGCAAAAAAAAAAAAAAAAGAAGAAACAAGGAGAACATTACCAGATATGATGCACAAAATAGAGTGGCGGTACACAATCAAGTCTTTATTGTCTACTGCATAACCAATGAAAGATTGCACATCAATGTTCTTCTATGCTTTCTTAAAACCAATCGTCTGATGGAGCATATGGGTCTCAACAAGAGAAACGCGCTATCACGAAGTTACGTCACAAAAAATTAACAAAGATTGTAATCTTGTTATTAAACTTGGATATACTGTAAAGGGATATGTGTGATAAGCAACTTCTGAATGAAAATTAAGTTATTGCTATTTAGGTCGTTAGCCCTACCTTTAAAAAGTAAATAATCCCCAAAAATGGGCAGAGGTAACACGATATCTCCTCTTGCCACAAAGCAGAGTATCTTCCATATAAAAAGCCAGAGTGCCTCCCCTCACTATTTTAATTTTTACATTGGAGTACCAATGTAAAAAGGCAGAGTCTCTTCCTTTACTACAGAACAGCTCATACCCAAGCACAAGAAATCAGACAAACTTTCAGCCTCTGCTTTGCCCTTTGTGCACTGCACACCTCCACTCCACTCGCCTCTACCACTGGGGTGTGATCTCTTTGATTTGTCATCTCCGGCAAGCGTTGTTTAATTAAAAAGAAAATCAATGGCGATGTTATACAATCTGAAACATTTGCACATATATACTGTTGTACACAGATTATATACACGATTCACCCCTTTATTAGATAGGTGCCTTGGATTATGTTACATCTTGCAAACAAATACTCTACGCACAGCAAGCCACTGGAGGCAATGCTCTCGGCAGGCAACCTTTGTTGTATATATATCATTAGATTACTACTTAATGGAACAAACGTTCACCCTCTTCTTACATTAGATTAAACTTGGACTAAAACCAAAGACACCTACTGCCTTCTACTCAGCAAAACTGTAAAATTGATATATTTTTTGTCCAGCCAGGAACTCTATGCTTAGTAAGATTGGAATCTTCTAGCTGTTTTTTTAGCAAATCTCGGTTATCTTAAATTTGTTTCTTGTGTTGATGCCGATGCTTATTATAACTACCTTCCTTGGTGAGAAACACCTTCTTGAAAAATACCAGCTGACTTAGATCAAGCACAAACACTTTAGGCTATAGTTCTGTAGGATACTAGGTGCTGGAATATTTACATGTTGATCTGAATATGCCAAAATATGACTATTGATAAAGAAAAATTATATCATCCTCACCTATGCCAACATTCAAATGGCTAATGACATACTCGTCCCTACAGCTGGTAACCACAACGCAACACCTTCCCGCTGCCTGCATTCCCCACACTTTCCCATCTCTGTGTCATGATCATGGACCTCGCCCTTGTTGCTACCACCCTAAAATTCAGAAATAGTATAGCCCTACAATGCGAAATTTAGTCAGTTTGAAGTCCAACAAGGAACTGAGTAACTTGGTCGGCTTCTTTGTGATGATATGAAACACCCAGCGTAAGATCTGAGACCATCACTGCATACATGTATACGATGAAACTACTCGTAGTTTTTACCTCGTGTCTAGAAGGCATAATTGTTGTGAACATGTAAATGTCTGAAGTATGAAGCGGCTTTGACAATAATTACATTGACTATACTTTCTCGTAAGTTGAACTATCGTGCAAACAAGCCACCAACTAACTTCAGTATGAACACAAAAAATGAGCAAATAACACATCAGTCAAGTGAAAGCAATGATCGCCTCACGTTAAGGGACTGTCCTGGTCATTCAGGTTGCTGTTATTTCCAAAAATGAACATTAAAGCAAGTATCCAAGTTGCTTCTCTGAAAGTTGTCTGTGTGAACTTCAAACATGTCCATGGAAAGCAATTTTAGATGACTGACCCTAGTATATAAATTGATTTCTATTGGGCTGCAAGAGTAGTTTATAGACGGTTCGACTGTTGCGCTCTTTGGGCAGGAATCTCCACTTCACAGCAAGAATTCACATACATGATTCTTTTTTTACTTTGTTATCCCTGAAGGGAAAATATTCATCACTGAACACCTTCAGCAGATCATTGTTGTATAATTGAATCTTATTACTTAAGGATTTGTGAAGTGATTAGGAAAAAACATCAAGGAAGTCCAAACATGGTGGACGTAATTTAGAATCCAAGATTTCCGTCTCGTCCATATATTCAAGTTCAAACATGAACTGCAGTTCACTAAGCTATAATCCAACTAATTCAGAACTGACATGGTGTACCTTGTGGAGACGTAAATAGAGCGCAAATCTGAAGAGGCGACGATGTGCTCAGATAGAAGAGAAAGGAGAGGCGCAGAGCGCGACGAACGGTCTGCTTGCTCCTTGACGCAGCGTTGCACTGTGCTCGTGAGGCCGCGCTGAAGTTCTTGAGCGAGCTCCCCAGCAGTTTATGCGACCTCCAAGCTGTCTGGCGATGGCGAACAAGTGTGCCGGCAGGGTATGTGGCCTCCATGCAATCCCGGCGGCGACGAGCGAGTGACTCAGGCAGTGGGTATGGCCTCACTGCATGCAACACTGGCGACAGCGAGCGGGCATGGCAGGGGAAACTGAGCGTGCGGAGAGCGGAGGAGAAACAGAGGAAAATGGATGACGAAGCCGGGGAGAAATTGGGCGGGCGCAGCAAGGGGTTGCAGTTTCTCTAATTTGAATTTTGAAGTGGGATTGGAGCTGGCCGGGGATTGGGATTGAAGGAGAGAGGCGGCAGGATAGAGGGATTGGGGGAGGCCATGAGGAGGCAATGGGATGGACGACGCGAGATGATTGTGGAAGAATGGCCGGTGCTAGCAGGCGCTTGGCAGTAAAATATGTTAGGTAATATCCCCTTCGATCAAAGCACATGTAAACCTTCACGTGCCTGAGTGGGAGGGCAGCGTTTAGACTCTTGCCGCTGCACGTTTCTTTATTCCTTCTCGGTGAAGAGGCAGACGAACCATCAGCACGAACTGGTTCTTTTATAGGAGTAAATATTTTATTACGTCATTGTCAAAACTATACCTCAGCGATAATTTTATCTCCCAATTCGACCAATTGTCTTGATATGCTTGTCTATTTCATGTCATTTGTATTTCCTTATTGCTCTTCTTGCCGGTCAACAGGATGTTGTCATGTGCAAATCTTGGTAGGAAACCTTATTGCAGTCCTTTTCTGCTTGCATTTCAGAAAAGAGCATATGATAAAATTTACAATGACCATTTTCTACAATGACATATCTCCCACTGTGGCCAAATAGAACGCTTTTACAAAAGTATTTACTTGACATAATCCTATACCTAGAGCTAACATCATGTATAACCCAATTGTGACATTCTAGAATAGGAAGGAAAGTCTGATTTTGAGAACGTGAATATGAGCGGGTGAGTGACAGCTTAATTGCATGGAATTTGACTAGATCCCAGACAACCGTGGCTATACGTTCTTTGTCTATTCCTTTGACTTAGCCATGGGTAATGTTGTCCACAAACTGCATATCTTACTTTTTTTTATGTACGATGCAGATGTGCCAAACACCACTTCATGTCGCAGCTGGATACAATAATACTGATATAGTGAAATTCCTTCTTGATTGGCAAGGGCAAGGTGCAGATATGGTTGAGGTGGAGGCAAAGAACATGGTAACTAAAGTACCACATTTGCTAGTACCTTATTAGCTCCTCTGCCCAGTTTTCTTTCCTTCTATGATTTGAGATTAGCATATAAACTACCAATTCTGTTGCTCTTTAGTACGGAGAGACACCCCTGCATATGGCAGTAAAAAATAGTTCTTATGAATCAGCAAAATTGCTCCTTGAACATGGTGTACATACAGGAGCCAAAACAAATGTAAGATCTATCCATTTACTTTCTATTTTCTCTTTTAGGCCACCTGAGTTGACTAAATTCACACACTTAATATGTGTAATTCATATTGTTGCAGAATGGCATGTCACCATTGCATTTAGCTGTCTGGCATGCACTTCAAACTGGAGATTGCAGCACCGTCAATTTGTTGCTAAGCTATAATGCAGATTGCAATGCTAAAGATGATGTACGTACAGTTGGTTCCCTAATGATGGTTCAATTGCTTTCTGTACAACTGTATCAGAAATAGTAAACGTTGTTCTATCACATGTTGCCCCCAGGAAGGCAAAATCCCCTTAAATCATATCCCAGGAGGAGCTGGCAATGAGATGCTGCTCCAGCTCCTCATTCGCCATATGGAAGAACAAAGAAAACAAAAAGCCCTCATGACATGTCATGAACAACGGTCAATGGCGGAGTTTGAAGAAGCAATATCACAAATCGTGGGGTTGCAAGAGCTGAAAATGCAATTACGTCGATGGGCCAGGGGAATGCTTTTTGATGAAAAACGCCGGGCTATGGGCTTAGGGATTGCTACCAGAAGAGCTCCCCACATGGCATTTCTGGGCAATCCAGGAACAGGTGGTGATCCACACAGAAGCTACCCTTTTTCTATTACAAAAATCCTTTTCAGTTCTCAGCATGATTTATCATTATGGAATTCATTGTTAGAGCACCTCTAGTAGAATTCCTAAAATGGGACACCCTAAAACCATTTTTTGGGTCAATCCCTAAAAGTTTTCAGAGATTCCAGGGTGCTCCAGTCTAGTCTAGCAGATTCTCCAAAGCTGCAATCCCTATATTTCTTTCCTCCATTTCTCTTCTCTTTATGATTCACCCCATTACAACTCCAATTTCACATCATATTCAAACTCTTATTTTCTACCCCACACAATTCAACGACATTGCAATGACATAACTTTGAAATTTTCAAATTCAAACTCAAACACAACATAGCATCCAAGATGCACGACATGATCCAAAGTAGTTCGTTACTGATATAGGACCAACCTATGGTGTGTCCCGATCTAAAGGAGTTGGAGGTGGATTTGGAGGGAGATCACGAATAACACGAAGATCACAAGGCGAAATTGGGGGAAAACACAAGAGGAGAACACTCTATCGGAGAAGATCCACACACAAGTACTCCTCAAATCTCAAGTCAAAGTGGTGCATCACAAGCATTCAACAATAATGGAAAGTAAAGATAACTAGGGTAGTTCTTCCCCAATCTCTAAGAGATGTGTGTGTGTGTGTGGG